TTACCTTTCGAAAGGTCGGTTTGTCTTTGAAGAATTCGCTGTTTTTTCTACTTATTGGTGGAAAAATCTAAAATAAAGAAATCCCATGATATCAGTRACAAAAGTCATTGGCAGCCGACATCCTTCGATTTCATTAAAAATGTCATTGTTTATGAAAAAYTAATCGATAAATAAACAAGSTTAACTACGAGTGTTAAATCAAAGTAGGCACCGGGAATTGGGTACAAAAAGCGAGGCGTAGGCGATTTCTATCTTGCTTTGATGTATGCGAATTGTAATTTCTAATGGAAAACTTCTCAAAAGTCTATTACATGTACTTCSTCCATTTTKTTTCACACCATTGACGCAGAGAGATTCACGAAATCGTAGTCGACGAGACCGGCGCTAGTTATTGTTAAACGTACCTTTGGGTTGATGTAAAAACAGCCATGCGCAAGAGCATCAAGAGGGGCTGGTCCTTCGAGGGGRAACCCCACTCCTATCAACACCTTAAAACAAAGAACTATTCAATACCTGATGGACAATGCTTTCCGTGAAAATCACTGGAAACAAACCTTCGCTTCACTGAGCAATTCAAAAAACTGTGTGCCGTTCAATATGCCATGGTTAATCACGTATTCKGGAACGAACTGCTTTCGAAGTTCTTCCTATAAAATGACGTGTTTGCAATGGTTAAAAAATGATTGAGCACGCATAAATCATGAACCAKTGAATTATCCAAAGTATATGGACGAATATGAATCAGTTTATATACCTTACCACCAATGGTACCATGTAGCTCAATGTATTTGCTTAGAACGTCCAGATATTTTCGCTTTCCCTGATAAAAAAAATGAAGAGTTAGCTGGGCGCTACTCACAAATTAGTTCCTTCCACTGATAAATTTGACAATACAAATGWTGCACCTTCAAATACTCTGGACGTTTAGCGTAAATAACGGCTATAGGTTTCTTGCGAACTTGCTTGAGCTCCAAATTCGTGCGCGTTTTAGGAACCACAAATCCCATGAAGAGGTTGTCTGGACTGTGGGCTGAAACAAAAACATGGTTATCTTGCGCCAATCGATTAACGAAAAAGAAGCGTCATAAACTAATTAACTATTTAAAATCATTATTTAGTAGGAGTGTTTAGGAGTTGTACTTACGATACATTGTCATAAACTGTCTGAGGTTTAGGTTAAGTTTTCCCCATCCATTGGAACTCATCGGCTCCTTGTAGTATTTRTAATTGAATTGAGCTTCAGTACCAAAACTATCCAGTACTAGCAGTTTACATCTGAATGAATAAAGTGAATTGTATCAAGGTTTTATTGCATTTCATTTCATCCTCTTTTCATTTTCTCCATCTCTATYCATTTCTCAGTCCGTTCTTTATTTCAGTAATCAACATAGTGTGTCTTACCTGTAGTTCTGTGATGTTGGGCCAAGGTGGTTATCAATKATATATACGCCAGTAATATCGGTGAAAATGCGATCTACTGGACTCACGTTCTTGACRCCACATCCCTTATCATGCTTGGTAAAAAGCCTAAAGTAGTTATTCATCAGTCAATTAAAACCCTGGCTCCTCAAACCCCGGGCTGGAAMTAACACAYTATATTATTATATCCCTGTTGGGCTGCCTGTGCAATATAGAGATCTTTGTCTTTTAGGTATGAACAGCAACCAACCTTCCTTCACTGACGTCATCCATGCTTGCTGATAATATCAGTTCATGACCAAGAATGTACAGGGAAGAGATGACGTCACTCCACTGAACAAACTCCCCAAGGGGACCCCCATTAAATGCTTCTGTGACAAGTCGACGATTACCCGCCACGCCTCCAAAATACAGTACGATCTATTTGGAATAGAATGTACAATTAATAACCTCAGAAATATCAAAGATAATGAGAKTGTTTCTCTTCTTATTATACTTACTCTTTGCCGTTTGCGTTTCTGTAAAATCCCCTTTCTTTCCAATTCCATGGCGGCTTCAAYCCATACTGACCAGAAAGACCTGATTCTCGTTCGAATCCAAGCATAGGTGTCGTCCTGAAGTATTTTTTCTAATCCAGTTATATCCGATTGAACGGTTGCCTRTTAAGAAAAGACACGTGCTGACGATATGGAGGGTGTAGGAATAGTTAGAGATGAAACATGAATCAATCATAAATCTTGCATCTCAATGGAATACAAAGCAGTCATTTCTTCTTAACCGCGTGTCATTGCCAGACTAGTKCTGCAAACAATTCTCCATTCTATACAATAACCCTTCCCACCCAATAAGCTGAAAGTGACTTAACGATTTCCGTCCGTAATTAAGATTTATGCAAAGTTCGATGTTCACATGACCAATCATGAAATTACCCTGGAAATTAGTACTACCAGAAAACACGCAGAAAAACACGTAATGAAATTAGGTTCAAACTTACCAGCGTTGATTGTGAAAGTTTAAGTTTGTCTTGTGACCATGCAATACGAGGACACCAAGGTTCCACCTAACCAAGTCAATCAATCGTAAGAAACGATGGAAAGAGATTCGGATGATTTTTTTTTAACATAACGAGCAGGTACAAAATACAGTGCGCATGAAAGCTGACTTCTCTATTGTATGCACTGATGATCCGTCCCTTTGCAGTAAAGCCTTTATATCAATACTGTCCAATCACAGAAAAGAATCGCAATAATCAAAATGAATTAAGATTTAGATCACCTCGCTAAGATATCTTAACACAGAACAAGGGTCGCTCATATTCACTTTGAATTTCTCGCCATGACATCGTTCGTTCCACGTCTCTTGGAATTGCTGCAACGAGAGTCAGTCTGAATAAACCATTAATTTATAATGTTGGTTTACTCAAGCCTTGTTTATGAAAAAAAGAATTGCGTTAGGATGGAAATTATATGTTTCACATAAAAGAGAATGTTGAACACATAGTGGGTATAGATGATTTTTCTGCATGAAAAATAAAAGGGATTTTTTTTGTAGTATTACTATAGTAAGTACTGAAGTAAACATTTTTTAAGTTAGATTGAGTTGCCATCGATACTACTGCTGTTCGGATTACGAACTAATTTAGACTTAGATTTACCATTTATACAACCTACAAGCGATAATCTCGAATAAAAGGACCCAGGCTTAGATATGACAAGAGAAAGGAAGGAAATGCATTGACAATTTACGACCAAAGGCTGGGTGTGCGTCAATAAAAAAAAAAGATTGAAATCGGATTTCAATCTTTTTTTTTTATTGACGCACACCCAGCCTTTGGTCGTAAATTGTCAATGTTTTCATATATGATGTCAGTTGGTTTTTGTGCCGGATTATTGCCCTTTTTGAAATAAAAAAAACCCTCGAAAATGTATTTAGAGAAACAGGCTAATCTTGTTTTCTCTGAATTGTAAAATTACAGCATGGACATAAAAATCATTTTGATAACACGATCAGCGTATTCTCTCATCAAATTTGTAAATCTAACATTCATCTATATAACTATTCCATGCTGTATTTGTTAAAKGAATAAAGARAGAAAGAAAGAAAGGAAAATGAACCTTGAATTTCATTGGACAAAGTGGGAAAAGAGGATCACCAGATTGGACTTGACAAACTTCACCAGGCGCATTGGACGGACGATCGATTTCTACGGAGATTTGCTGATCTTTTAATGGATTCACTACGAAACAAAACACATATAAATACAGTTCATCGAAAAAAATAAAACTAGAAAAAAAGATCAAGTGCATCACATGTATGTAAGAAATTATATAATCCGGCTTCTTGTATAGCGATAGATTAACATCTTGACGTACAATGTCATCCTTCTCCCACACTAACATAGCCAAACAACTAGTGAGCATCATTTTAAGACACCAAAACATTGGCAAGGTCTAAACAGTATAACAGAAGCAAACTGTTCAAAAAGAACTCACCTTTTAGTTCATAAGGCATTACGGTGTTCAGCGAAGGAATATCGTGATGGCACGATCTTTTCCAGCTGTCATTATTTTGAAAAGCGAAGGAAATGATATCTTCCTTTCGAAATCGTTGAGAAAACATATGATAGTATAATACAACAATTCCAACAACTAAACAGTATGTAACGTTTTTCAAGCGTTTTGCTGTTCTTGTAATTTTCCTTAAGGCATTGAGGGCCATCTTGATTGACTGGGCTTACTACACACACACACACACTAACACTCTACAAGTCATTCGATTAAGTAAGAATTGCCAACARTGACGATTTTGTAGTTGCTACTGACAACTCGGATAAGCTCTTCTGATAGTAAAAGTTAATATTTGGAGAATTTATCAAATTCAAAACTTTTGTTCATCTAATTAAACATATGGAGTAATATATAATCGCTGATCATACGATTCCACCGTCTGGATAGACCACGGGACTAAGTCTTTTAGCATGTTGCAAAAACAGTTTCAAAGTGCTGATGAGAAAGAAGCGGTTTGATAGTGTGTTWATCTGATTTTTACATAATAGAACTGCCGGTARTTTTGATTGGATGCCCTGTTGTCATAACAACTTTCACAATCTTTCAAGAATTCTTCTCATGAATTCGYTACTCTTTKTTTCAGTTCAAAAGTGTTTGTGTTTTGTGCTYAAGAAGAAAATTATGTTCACTTGTTATTCCACGATTGTAACTCTTTTTGAAAACTTCTATAATATTATCGTTTGGAGTGTTGCTTTTTTTTGTTTTTATTATCATTATTATACTACCATACCAACTTTGCATGGTATATCATCGTTGCTTTACTTTAATTTTAAAAGACCAACGTGTATCCGAAAGAAAGGTCTCTGGTTAAAGTTGCTTTCTGACGGGTTCAAAATCAAAGATGGCGKCTTGCGTATTATGTGTTTTCTAACATACTATGTGAAGAAACATATCACAACTACATGRCTAATCGAAGAATTGACGAACTAACAGTCACTCTAGTCATCAAAGCCATTGTTTAACAGTGCAAAATAGGTTCTGTCCACACCGCCGCTCTGACGTCATTGTTCCCAGTAGACCAAGAGGGTGATGGGTAATTGTGGATTGGTCGAAAGTTAGCACGTTTGGCTATACCACGTCAATCTCATCACCTAGCAGCTGAGGTCTTCGCTTGCTATGCCATAGTCTGACTATATATGTTCAAATTWATGCAAAACTGACAACGTGCATTTAACATAGAGTGTACCATTGTTGATCATGACTTTGGGGAAGCATTTCCAACGAATTCTATATTTCTTGTTGTGTTTTGGTGTAGTTTGGMTTGTATTTCTCATTGCTGCTCATCTTGTTCTTGACTTTGAAGAAAGCCAATTGTATTACAGTAGAATGAAGGCAGCTGTGAAATTTGCAGCTTTTGACGAGCTCGATATTTCTCAAGGTAGGATTTTTTCAGTTTTTTGTCATAATTGTTATCACTCGGCAATGATTTCTGTCAATCTGTTTTATAGGTTCGATTATAGGTATATTGATACATACAGCCAGGGKATATGCTATTAGAAAGCAACACCTCTGATCCAGTATCCCTCACCTATATACATATAGACTTTATTTATTTTTTATTTCAGATGAATCCATTAACCAGCCCAAATGCGAGATTCCTTTTGATCTTTCCTTTCCTGACTGCATAAATCAAGTTCAGGTATGTTTTACTSAGATGTCTATTTTTCGCCATAAGGAAAATATAATCTTCGCGCCCGAAAGTGTTACAGCATAAGTATGTCCTCTTGGCCAGACTGAGTGTGTACGCATGACATGCTAGTTCGTTAATGGTGGTTTAGTGAGGACCAAAGGGGTAAAGCAGCGCATAATTGCATATAGGCACAGCAGATTATATAGATACTTATTTCTCAGGGATTGACAAGTTAACAAATCTTGTCATTATACTGCACGTTATGTAGAATTCTACTACTATACTCGTCAAATACGCGCGAGTTTTTTAGCCGCCTTCTTGTCTGTGGTATTCAGTAGCTACACTTGATTTCTTAGAGGTTGAGAGATACGTGGCAAATTGATCCTTGCTTCCAAACGTACGATGTTGACGGTTCAGACTGTTCCATCCTTATCTATCTGAGTGAGGTAAAACGTTGATTTTTATTATTAGAATRCATTTGCTATGAATTGATTGAGAGCAAATTCACTTTTACTTAAAGATATCAGCAAAAATGATACAGTCAAACACTAACAATTTGAAACAATGCTTAAATGCCAGATAGAGGCTTGGTGTCCTCGACTTCCCTGGAGAAAACACATGAAAAAGAAAGAAAAAACAAGACCAAAGGTGAACCATGATTTACTAATAGAAATATCATCCAACCAGTACATCCCACGGACATTTGGTGTTGATTTTAGAACACTACATAAGCCGATGTAATTATAACTTCATTTTATATTAGGCTGAACTACAAGACGAGATTGATCCACTAATGAGRCTGTTAACTAACGATCCAGTATACAATCCATTAGCAATACGTACATTATATTCTTGGAGACACTGGAGAAATGCTTACAGATTCATGAGAAAAGAACTACGAGATAGCACTACACGATATGTAAAGAAGGTAAATGCTGGTATCCAACAATTGTTGCACAACAGCAAAACTGCATCGTTCGAGGGTTTAGTCGAGGTTTAGTAATTTGTCAGGAGGTGTTACAAATGTACATTTATTACTATTCTAAATAAAAAAACTTCAAATCGTGAACCAGTCTTGAAAACATATATAACACACTCCTGTACAATTCCAATTGCTAATCATTATTGTACAACAAATTATGGTATGGTTTCCTGTGCACCAAAGGCCAACCCTCTAGACATGCCCTGGTGCACACCTCTCTAGACATGCCCTGGTGCACACCTCTCTAGACATGCCCTGGTGCACACCTCTCTAGACATGCACTGGTCTATAAATTCTATCCAGTGTTACAATACCTAATATTAATAATAACTAGTAATTGATTAGCTAAATAGCTGCTAAATAGTACAATCATATCAATCGCTTGCTTAGCGTTCAATGCGTTGTTCGTAGATATTTGTGTACATTGGAGAGTTATCCGACAAGCCATCATTAATGAGATATACAACAGACCAAGTACTGAGTGCTAATCTCATGCAATGGAGTGATTTAGTGACGTCTTTGTATATTCTGGGACATACTGTGACGATATCTAGCGATAGACAGGAACTAGTAAACAGGTAAGACAATAATCAACTCGAAGTTCTTTATGATACGTTGAGAATATGATGAGAAATAGACCATACACTACTGTGGTTGTTGCTGCATTAATTTTACTCGTGCTTTCGCTGGACATCAGCATCATGCTACTGAAGGACAACTTCACTATTTTCAGATACATACATTGTATGATGTTACTACAGCTGCACTGATCATCTACTCCCCAACACATCCTTTATTACCCTTTACCCTATAATGGATATATACAAGCAAAAATACCATAAACTACGTATTATCTCTTCAGCCTGCTACCAGARTATGAGAAGAAAAACAGTTGCAAAGAACAGAACTCTTTCGATTTGGTGTTTATAGAYCACATAGGAATACAACACATGACCTCGTCAACTAAGGACATTTATTACAGAATATGGACCGAGTACAGGTTAAGTAAACCTTGATAATGATGTTTTAATAAGGGGTTATAATAACTTTTTGAGTGTCACGGTGACTCTTTTTTCAGATGTAAGCTTCGAGTTCTTGATCCGTTTGGTACTGACGCTGAGTTTAATTTTGCTAAATATAACGACAATTTATTACCTGGAGGAAGATCATCGTTTGGGAACATGGAACTCAATCTCCGTCAATTCATGACAAGGTTTTGTAAGTAGTGCAATCAATCGACCCTCCCTCCCCTCCCCTGTGAACATACAACAGTTTTATTGTATTGTTCCAACTGAATCGCMTTCAATTCACAGACGTATCTGGTGATAATTCATTTTTGGGATTTGCCGTTGGAAGYCATGACGAAAAGCGWCTTTTCTTGAAGAAGAAAAAGAGAATTGTGATMTTTGGGGACAGCTCGTTTACTTTAGAGGTCAGTTGGCTTGTAGGCAGTGCAGTGTGCAATAGAACAGAAATCCGTGGTTATCTGGTGAAATAACTGTGCATCCAGTAGTGAGAGAATGTAATGGGACTGATTTTTGTTACCTCTTCAGAACGAAACGCTCTCTTGGTTGAGCTTTATAAACAAGTTTATGCGCATTCATTACTTACAGATTCAAGATGACAAGGTAAGGAAGACCTTCAGCTACAATAGTGTGACGAAGAATTGTTAACCTTATACATATGATTCAGTTTGTTCACTGCTTTTCATCAATTTTAAATATTCAAGGAGAATAAACAGTTACAGCTGCCATCCTACATCATTAAACACGACAGCATGAAATACGACGACTTTGAAAGATTAGTTGCTGAAGCAAAGGTAACTGCTTGCACAGAACAAGTGAATCGCCTGTGTGATTGCACATACCAAGTGAATCGCCGGTGGTGAACTTAGAATTCTCTTGTTCTTTATCAGGCTGTGATCGTTATGGGAAAAAGTACAGAGAATATCATCCCAGCCATTGCTGTTGGTCGAGGTTGTTTCGTTATTAATCAAAAGGTGAACAAAGCTRCTATTTTGGTTGACTGAAATAATCTATCACACTCACGATGATTGTTTTCATAGTTTAACCCACCAAAAGATCGAACGAATACAGATTATCTTCAAGATAAACCATCACTCAGAAAGGTACGGTCGCTTTATACTTAGGATATATATCTTAAAGTCCTGTTGTGATAGGCTAATTGAATTTTAATTAAAAAAAGAAGAAAATACAAAAAATCTGTTCAAATTTTTTTACTCAGCACTGACCAGTAAATACACTTGCAGCTTTCATCTAGGAATCCATATTTGGCTAAAAATGTTGGCAAACCTCACGTGATTACACTTGATATTAACAATCAGACTGAGATGAAGCAAGTGATACGTCATATAGTCAAGACAAAGGTGAGGGGTGGGGTGGGGTGGTGTTTGGGAGAGGTAGGAATATTAGACTAGCTGCATCATAATAATTAATGTGTGTGTTTAGGTAAAGACATACATCCCATTTGAGATAACAGCAGAAGGATTTTTGCAAAGGTTAAATGCGTACATCGAACACCAGGTAAATCAAGAATCAGTACATTAAACCTCGGCAATAGAGACTACAATGAAAAGCACCGGCAACTTGCTGATCACCAGCTATGAGACTTATTGAACATTGCGCATGGCCGGGTATGAGACTCTTACTGACCACTGCGCGCTTCGTTTCTCACTTAATGAAGTTGTGGAAATGAGAGTTTTCTAGAAATGTGCAACGACGTCGCTACTTCAATGCGGTTTTCAATAAAATATCGTATCTATCCTTTTCTTGTCTCTAATCGAAAAGTGTTATACTATTTCGGGCTTCCTGTGTCTCATCTTTGAGTGCCTCGGGTAGCATTTTCATTTATCTTCTTCAAACAAACCGCTCTTGTCATCGAAGAAATATGTTTGCCGACAATCAAGTCAATATACTAGTTGCCTCGAGCATGTGAACTGTTATCATAAACTTTAATTTGTTTTTCATTTATTTCTTTTCCATAGTATTTGTTTTCTATCTCGACTTCCAATCTTTTTGCGCTGATTTAAGCAAAACAGTATATTTTATATTTTTGTTAATATTCATAGCTTTCTTGTTGTTTTCATTTGCACATTGCGATATACCAGCAACCATTTTTTTCAGGATTTTTGTCAAACAAATGACTGGCCTCCGATCTTGGAACTGCAGGTTAAAGTAGGTTTGACGGGTGAATCGTGCCAAGATGTTTGTAGCAWACAAGGTGTGTTGACTAGAGAGTCAAATATTCAAAAGACAACGTTTCAAAACTACTATTTTTGTTATTCAAGTTTCCAGCTCCTAATAAGAATTGTCCAGCAGTTGTTGTCTTATTATTTTACCAGGTCTGGTGTGTGAACCTATGTACTTTGATGCTCTCAACTCAATGTAAGTAAAACTTGTTACATAGATATAAACCCAGTCCGTATACTATGTTGTACCCAGTCCGTATACTATGTTGTACCCAGTCCGTATACTATGTTGTACCCAGTCCGTATACTATGTTGTACCCAGTCCGTATACTATGTTGTACCCAGTCCGTATACTATGTTGTCGCTATGTTGTACGTTCACTYATCTCATCAYAGGAATGCCGGGAAATAAAACAGACGAAAATTACTCGTTTAAACAGTTTAATACGTATATACATAATGTGAGCTCGTAAGCAATACATTTATTTCCATTCATTTTTATTGCAATAAATATTACTTAAGTTCCTGGATTTGGTTGTCCATAGAGCTGGATAGACCTCGGCTTGGGCACGTTTTTTTTCTCAGAATACGCGCGATTTATTCGAAAGAGTATTATCTTTGTCAAAGCTATTCATATRTTCTTGTATAAAGCATTTGAAAAATCAGATTAAAACTAGCCAAGCCGAAAAGGTCCATTACAGCTCCGTCTACAATTTGGAGGTTTTTATTAATTAAAGAAATAATTCTAACAATTTCTCWTTCAATAGTAAGATACATGGATGCCGTAAAATTATGAAAGCAGAGTCTGTTATTGCTCCGGCCAAAGAGGCCAATTCAACGATATGTTTAGCACAAAAGCAGCCGTTTCTATACAATTGTCAGAGACACAGTCCTCACTACAGAAGAATTTGTCCGTGTAGGACAYACAAGACTGGCCAAAGATCACTGTGCGAGGAATGTTAAAGTAATACAATCGCATTATCGGCCTTAGGCTCGTGGTTGGGCCTCTAGTGAAACAAGCCTTGAAAAACKCCTCAGTTCTATTTTGAATTAAGTTGTCATAAAGAGTGGTACTGAGAATCGACGTTGTCAGATGGAGCCGATACATTTTTGATTCATGCAATGAATTTATTACTATATATTTATTACCACAACTCCGATTTTTTTCCGAATATTAGACGACGCTATACCAAACCAAAAACTGAACATTGTGAGGTTAAACGCCAATAACAGTACATTTTAGATTGTAAATATCATTTAGTAAGGTGTTTCACAAAGATTCAAATAAATATAAATTAAAGCTAATGGAGATATATATCTTTAGTACTTGAATCTAAAATATACTGCAACTTTAGGCTTTTCTGATCCTGTCAAGTTAAGGGGTTCGCGCTGAGTTAAAACGACATTTAAAATCCATTAAGTGCATTAAACWTTAACGCATAAATGATATTTTTCAAGTGTACTTGTAAATTTATAAACACTCCTTTAAAAATAGCAAAACTTTTAAAACGAGTTGATGGGAAAATTTCATAGATATGTGAAAGTTGAAATTTGAAAGTTGCCCAGAAAGCAAATTTTAATTATAAGCATGCGCAAAGGATGCTGAAATTACGTTCATCAGGTGCGCATTGATCGCCAGCTTGATGCCACTATGCCACGTTGCATAACTGAATGTGGCTTTATATTTTCTGGTAAGCGCTGACCAAATGGACGTGTCGCGTCTCCGTTTGATGATCGGTTTAACACAMATACTTTGCGAATCACTTGTGTTATGTTTTTYTCTCKCGCWGCATAAATGACCGGATTGGAGACAGCACTAAAGTACGTCAGCCAGCAAATRATTATATCTACTTTATCTAAAGTACAGTTCTTTTCTCTACTATGCATGTAGTACAACTGGAAAACTAAAAATGGAAACCATGTCAAGGAAAATCCAAAAATCACCAGACAAATCGTCTTAGTAGAGCTTAGATCYCTTAGTAGGCTTGTTTGCCTTCTTACTGGAGTTATTCCATGCAAATGGCGGAGTCTCGCGGTTGTTTGCACATCGATACATCTCATGTGTCGTCTCGTTATCCGGAAGATGCAAACATAGAGTACAATTATGACACAAAATGGAACGAAAACATTRCCAACCAGAAATGGGATGAAATACGAGGAGWTTATCTGAAATGAATGGACGGCATTTTTTGGTTTCTCGAAGGCCAAATATAGAAGAATACCCAAAACTATAACATAAAACCAAAGAAAGACAAGCATGTGAATAACACAACGTTTTGTAAGATAATGCATATAGTGCAATGGGTAACGAATGCGTATATACCGGTCCACGCTAACTGCCGTGAAGTTTAAAATAGACCCAGCCAGAAGAGTTAAATAAGCAGCGTTCCATAAGTTCTTGATTGTTGCTGGAAAAGGAAATCTGGGAAAACTTGTTAAGTATGTTATCTCCATAGGAATAAGCAATACAGACGAAATAACGTTAGTGATCGCCAAGTTTATGATGAAMGCATAAGGAAGGRTTCTGAGAGTTGGGTTCRMTTTGAATGATAACAAGATTAAACCATTGAAAATCATCGACAGCAGCAAAGTGATGGACATGAATAACACACCACAAGCAACAAACGTCAATTCTAGTTGTTCACACGATGGTAGRGATTCCTTGGTCAAGTTGTTCATGRCGTGGCGTTACCTTTTGTCAAATAAGTCGGTTGGCCACACACATTAAACGCGATTTCGAAGAACAACCAATACAGATTGTTGAACCTGCTGTACATGAAAAAGAGAGAGGCTTTCTGTTTGACAGATGATTGCTTGTGAAGGACAATATCTTAGCTTTTATCTAATGTCTCGCCTTGCCATCTTACGTAATCAAGCCCTTCTAGCGGTTTAAAAGCGATAACACCTGCGAAAGAGTATTTGATGAGTAGTATAATYCTACGAGCTATAAAACTTGTTTTGCCTTTATGAAAAGCGTAATCTGAACCAGGAAGTTTGAGAAATGACATTTAGAAGAGTTTCCTTGTTTTAACTACCACGTAAGATAAATATACCATTTAACATTGATGCCAGTTTCCTGTTCGAATGATTGTATTATCCAATAGCAAGGATATTTTGATAGGCCCTTGTCATAAAATATCAATATACGAGTATTATATCATTCTTTGGTGACATTTATCATGAAGATCMGACATTCTTTGCCTCGGTCGTATCTAGGGACAATTTTCTACGTTTATGAAGCCATAATGCAATTAAACTATCAAAAACCTAACTACACCCCGTGTTATCATTAAAAGGATCTCTTGGAAKATCTTCASGGTGCGKGGGAGTTTCACTGTCGCTGTTTTAAAATAAAACGGAATCGGAGTCTGGAGAGATATTCATCTACTTTTATTAACCTACCTAAAAAAATCATTGACGCAATCTTCTTATAGGTACAGAAATAGAAAACATTGTCTCAGCCAATCAGAGCGCAAATAATGATATCAAAACAAACCCACGCCCCGGGATTTTCTGATATCTGGTTACCCCACTTAAAATTCAATTTTTTTCTAAAAATTCCTTGCTCTCTGGTTGGTCTTAACGGAGTTCTTTCTCTGACTGATAAGATTGATGTGACGTCAAGACGAGGTAATTATAGTCAGTCAGTGATTAATTATGGAGTCTGGTTTTCACAACACAAAAATAGGAAAAACAGTACCGTTTTGGATTTAAGGTGTTTTTCTTTGTTTGTTAAATTAGCTTGATCTCATACTTATTGATATGCTTATGTCCATGTATTATGCTTATTGATATGCTTATGTCGATCTCTTATAGAGTACAAACACTAAAACTGTGCAACATAAATACCACTAAATACTGCTAAATTATGCTAATTCTATTGTTTTCTATTTTTTAATTAACACTATTTTGTAGTAAACTCTAGTGGAAAGTTTTGTACACATTTAATGATTGTACTCTACTTACATGTTATTTAATACTATTTAGTAGCCAAAACGAGATCTGAATAAAAGTTTACTACTGTGTTTAAGTAGYGGGTTCAACAAACCCATGCTAGCGCTTAGAGAAAAAGAACCATGAGAAATACACACAMASATATTGACCGAGACTTTATTTTCAAATCAACGAGATACAGTTATACAAAACATGCTTAGATTGTGCTTAAAGCAGGTAGTGGATGTTAGCCACATATTACCTCCATGTACAGACACAGCCATGTCAAATGGAAAATCACAAATATTCATATTCTTTCTATATTCTGAGAAATTCAGTTACATTTTAATCTGGTTTACAWAAGTAACAAAAGCACAAACTTGAGATATTACAAAAAAATGTTTCTKGTTTGTGTCGATAGGAGTGCRMCATTATATGATGTTAGAGCTTTTATTATTGTAAACCAGGCTTTACTCTAGTACAAACAGYCATTATAATACAACACTACATTAAACCTACAATGGCAAGCTAACTGCAAAGCAATCATTAATAGCAACATGATTAAATATCTGATGTTAGTACTATTTTATTGATGCTGTTAGATCAGCAGATTGCAATAATTAGTTTCTTCGCTTCTTGGAATCCTAAYAAGATAAATAATAACAGATATTAGTGAATATATACCTGGTAAATCAGGACCACATATAGCCACCAATACCTTGTTTTGAGCCAGGATGACCATGATACGACGGAAAATGTTGATGAAGTCCAAGAACAAATCAAGAGAATGCCTGAGGTAAAAACCCAAAATTAATTAATATTGCATCAACCAGATGTAAAATATCGGCATAAAATAATAATGATCAATTCAGACTGGATTGCAAATCACCTGAGTGCTGATAGGATTAATAAACATGATAAAATATAAAMATTATTGAATAAGTCTTACCAGACATAGTCTTTGTCYCCCAAGCGGTGTTTCTCAACAATCAGTTGTGTGTCATACATGACAAAGAAACAGAAAAGCACCAGGCCACCATAGAGGTGAATCTGAACAAGATAAAATAATGATGAGTTTAATGATTTAACTATTCAAATAGAATTGTTATTTTATACTCTGCATGCATTATTAAAATTCAAACTTTACTAAAGCTTATTTTGTCAAAAATATGTTTAAAGCTCCTAATAAGCAGCCCTAAATACCAATACCTCGAAGTCATTACAAAAGACTGTTCATATCACTGCACTAACAAATACACATACCTGGTAGAAAAGGTATGATCCCAAAAACAAGTTGATGAAACCGAGCAAGAGAAGCATGGAAAGGCCTGACCCAAGGATTCCTGTAATATAACCACAAATTAATGTWCAATAAACAGGATTGAAGTCACAAATATTATAGCTTACCTCCCAAGTACAGGTAGCTCCTCTGTTCAGCCCACAAAGCGCTCACAGTGAAGCAGACAAAAATAAACACAGTTGCAAGAAAAGCTGTGACTATGATACTGAAACATAGAAAGACAAATTCTTGAATTTTTGCAACTATTAGTTTAGAGCAAATAATAAGAATAATAATATGTGGTATTTATATAGCGCCGATATCCTCTGAGTTCAAAGGCGCTTCACATGTATAGATCATTTCACACGGACCGCTGTTTAAGGCGCAATTGGCAGCCACGTGGCTTACAATCATGACATTATACCTTGGGTCAATTTGGATGACCACGTCCATCAGTGGTCCAAGACTTAAACCTAACAATGTAAAGTGTAAAAAATACAGATCACAATTGTAATAATGTATTATCTTTACTTCTTTATTAGTGAATCTATTTACCAACCAACCAATCAATATCATCATTAGTCAGTCAATCCATTATTCAATCAATCAATCAATCTATCAATCAACCCATGAATCAATCAATCAATCAATCCATGAATGAATGAATGAATCAATCAATCCATGAATGAATGAATCAATGAATGAATGAATGAATGAATGAATCAATCAATCAAACAATCAATCAATCAATCAAACATGCAGTCCATATATTATTAATATCTTATAGTACATTCAACAAAATAATACTTTTTCATTGGTCGGGAGGAGTACAATTTATTACAGCGTTAATTGTACTCCTTATAAAATTTTGTTACACAATGTACTACAAACAAAAAATTACACAACATCTTGTACAATTTGGAATTAATAGTCACTTGTAATGTTTTGAAAGTTCTCAAATTTTTAGGAAGAATTTTCAAAACATTTGCCTGACAATTAATTCCAATTGTACTCAAGGTCGTGCAATTTCCTATACAARTCATGAATAAGAGCTTTACCACTGCAGAAAGCAAATCCCATGAGAATTCCTACAAGAAAGATAAAATAATGTTATAGCTACATGTAAACAATACTGAGACATTACAGTGAAGTTGTATTCATACCAACTCTTTTGGACTGGTTTTTGCCATTGTGGGGAGTTAATGCCAAAGCAATCAAGAATCCAAACAAAGCAATGGATGACAGGAAACCTCCCTGAAATCAATTATAATAAATATAGTATTACTCTGGTATAATACACTTACAAAGCGTACTGTCAAATCCATGAAAAGTACCTTGAGTATGTCAGTAAAMAGATGAAYACCACTTCCCGCTGCAGCAGAAACCATTGCCAATGATAGACAGGAGTAG